CGCAGGAAACCAAAGTCCTTTTAATGGCAGATAATGTCTCAGCTCTTGTTGGCCCACTGCAGGGTATCACAGCTTCTGATAGAGGGATAAACTGTGTTTCATCTCTGGCAAGAGAGAGAACAGCCATGTTCTCATTGAATAAGTGATGAAAAACATCAACAGCAACATTGAACCATTTGTCTTTGTGCTGCATTTGAGTAACATCAGGCCACAGGCTGTACACAGAAGATACAGGAAGAGTAGATTGTTGACAACGTTTGATGGCATCTTGAATGATCTTCACATATGCTTGTGGGAGCACCTTCTTCACAAGCAATTCATTCCACAAAGCGTGTTCGTCATGTTTCTGGTCTTCTTCTTGCCACTTGATGTGTCTTCTGTTGTCTGTGAGACCAAAGCAGGCGTTGACATAAACTGGGAGACCGGTCTTGTTGGATTCGTTGTTTGGGAGAGGGAGAAAGCAGCTCAATCTGCCTTGACCACAGTCTCTCTGCTCATCAAGTGGAAATGCCAAGTCAACTCTGGGTAAAAAACTCAACTTTTTGGCAAGGTCATCAAGGTTTGGTGCTTTTCCCTCTTTCATGGTGCATGTTGTTAAAAGCCATTGTGTTTTTTTCTGATCTTTTGAATTTAGAGTTATCAATTTGATTCTTGTCAGGCCTTCAACATCAGACTCATCTTTTTGCTTCAGAAGAACTTCTGTTGGTTCAGAGGATTTTATTTCAAGCCTGGTGTTAATGGTACCATCCCGACTGATATGGATCAAGGACACAGAGCTCACACTTTTCAAAAAGAGAAGGCTCAAGTCTGCATCTGCAATGAAGCTATCAAAAAGCTCAAACACTTTATCTGAATCATATATATTGTCTGAAATCTCTGATGCTTTGTTGCGTAACGGGAACCTGAAAAGTGTCCCAGAGAAGTACTGATCCTCTATGATTGTTGACCATTCTTGCTTGCCTACAACTGAAACTATGTCTCTGTAGGGCTGGAACTGGTCATGCATTGTCAGCAAAGCTTGTTGATGCTCTTTGTCATCCAAAGACCAGAGGAACCCTCCATTTCTTTCTCCAAATATTTTTTCTTGTGGATCCATTATGCCAAGATGCCCTGAGCTGAATATGCTTGGTACATCTGTGAGAAAAATTTAAACATGTTTTCCCATTAATTATTTTGTATATGTTTTCCTAAAATGCTTGCTACACTAATATGTTTTAACTGGTAACAACACTGTACAAAGCATTCACCTGTGATGTGGTAAATAGAGTTGAAGCCGATCCCAAACCTCCCAATTTTGTTTGGGTCATTGATCTTCCCACTTCTTCCAGCCTTTTGAATTCTTTCCCAGTCGTCTTCAGTAAACACAGCATTGTTGTAGGCATACAGTGCAGGACCTATGCAAACAAAAAGTGTAAATATAAGGGCTGTAATGGATCAAAAAGACACTTAAAAGTGGATATTTAAACACACTATATAAACACACATTTTTTCCTCACAATTTTACATAAAATCAGATTAAATGTTCCTTTGCTAACATTGTTTACATTTGCTAAATGTCATAATATTGAAAGAGAGACATATTAGATATTTTTAAAATTAGTTTACTCTTATTAAAAAGTTTACAAACCCGTGCAAATCATGACGTTGCAAATTTTTCAACGCTTTCATAATCTTTAATTCACAACATTTGTAGGAAAATGGATGCACACTGTGGATGTACTTTAAGGTGGCACATCAAACACACGGTCTCATTTTGTTACATCATAAAAAAAATTAAAAGACAGTCAAGATATCAGAGACAGATACCAGCAAGTCTAAAGCCCAGGGAGAAATTGGCTTTCCAAATGGGGAATAACTGCCAAATGAATTTCAATGTGCTTTGAGGACGAAAAAGTCATTTTTTAAATAAGCCATCATAAATCCCTGAATTCAGTTAAACAGGAGTACAGCTTAAAATGTGTGTGACTTCAAGGCGCCCCAACATAATTCCCTCCAGTTCTGTCAGAAGGAATGAGCCAAAATTCCAGGAAAATATTGCAAACAGTTTGTGAAAGGATACCCAATTAAATGATAGTAGGAATACAATTTAAAAAATAATTACATCAAATTTTAATGACGTACGAAAACTTTAGAATTTGAATGAACATTCAAAATACAGCAATAATAGGTACCTATTCCTAAATGGTCTCAAACAGGGAGAGCGTCTAATTTTAGACAGTGAGGCAATTGAGTTTGGGTATCTTACAGAGTTTGTAAACATCTATTTTCTATTGTATCTTAACTTGAAATGCTAGCTTTTACTGAAAGGATAAAACACAGCAAGAATTTGAAGTAGTGTACTTAAGAAAAACTGACATAAAATGTAACTGGGGCAAACATTTGCAGAACTAATCATTAATTTTCTGTTTCTTAACTTAACATGTCTTGCATAAATGAGTAGTATAAATACCTTGGCAATCTCCCAGTTCACCAGTCCAAAGACTTTCTGCTCTGTAGCTCCTCTCATCATGGATGAAAACCACCTCTGAGGCTAGGGCATCATCTGCATTTTGAATCAGTTCCTGAAAAAGACATGTGACTGTTACCTTATCAATTAAAATGATCAATCTTTGATTTGGTTTACACACACCACATAAAAACACATTTACTATTTTTTCTCAATGACTAAAGCTATGTTAGACCAAACTTCACTTATATCATTACAGTTAGAATCACCAAAATTATTTCTATTTCCTAAATAACGCATTCGAGAGAGAGAATATATGTCAGAGATTTATTTATGAATGCCTTCTCTTCAAACGACCAAATGGACAATAATCTTAAGAATACAGCTGAAGTGGTTACAAGTCAATATTTTAGCATGGCAATAACAAAGCCCAGATCTCAAACCTACAGAGAATTTGTAGGAAGAAAAAGCATGTGCGAGCAAGGAAGCTACAAACCTGACTCAGTTATGGTAGTTCTGTCAAAAGGAATGTACCAGAAGATCAGTAAGCTATTGTGATTAGCTTGTGAGAGGATACCCATAACATCTGACCAGTCTGCAGTTCAAAGGCTACCAAATACTGAGGAATTATATCTAAACTTCTGATTTGGAAGACGTTGATAAATAAATCACATATATTTCCTTTCTCTCATTATTGTGCATTTAACAAATAGAAATAATTTTGGTGATTCTAACAGCAAACTATGCTGCTTCATTCTAGTTTCCTTAGCTGTCAAATAGAGGGAGCTACTTTTACAGCTGGAATTTAAACATTAAACAAACCTTCAAAATTTGTCCACCATCTGGATATCGACGCAGAATATCTTTCAGGTAGTCAAGGAATGGTGGTGCAGTAGCCCCAAAGGAAGTCCTAAGAAAAATAAAAGCAAGAAATGTCAGGAAAAAAAGTTAAACTGAGATGATTTACATAAACTCTACCTGTTATGTTGTTCAATTCAAATCTAATTCAGTTTCACTGAGACAACATAGAAGTTTATAAATCATTAGTTCATTTTATATGTACAAAAAAATCAATAAAAATGGTTCGCAACTTTGTTCATTACAGTCAAATTATTTTAAAATTGATTTGCATGTTACTCTAATAACGACTGCTTAATAGTATCATGTGATCCATCAGAAATCAGATCAGAACCACCAATGGACTCAATTCTGTTTGAAACTAATACGATGAAATCGGGAGCAGAGGTCCGTCAGAGCAGGTACTGATCCTCCTGGAGATCATAGTGATTAGGAGCTCACAAGAAAAAAAAGCCGAGGACAGATATCAGCTGAACTAGTCGTGTTAGAGGCACTGCATGCAAATCAAATGGAAATCTTACCGGGATTTATTCCTGGTCTTCTGACTCATCCTTTTTTAGGTTGGTTGCTGTAACAGAACCAAATTAAAAATAATAAAATGCAACATGCAATCTTTACTAACAAACAGAATAAAAATAAAGTATATTTATTCTTTATTTTTATAAAGCATAAAAAAATAATTTCCCACAGTGGGGATACTCAGGTATAACAGCAGCAACGTGACAAGACATCAAGGCACAAACTATTAAAAATGTATAAAAAACAAAATTAAGAATAATAATTTTGACTACAATTAAGAAAATACTGTGCAATCATAAGAAATAACATACTCTGTATTTCTATACACATTCTGAATACATTAGCATGACATAACACATTAGTAGTTTAGAATGACAAGAACTAGTCAGTTGCCAGCTAATGTACAATACGTGATTCTTTCCATGCATAGAAGTATAAAAGAAAAAAAAAAGTTTTTCTGTTTTAATCAGTACTTCATCTTACCTTGACCACATCAGGGAATGGTGTCATCAGCTCGTCTAAAATTAGTGATATTGCATCAGTCTGTTGTATATAAGAGAAGGCGATGTCCAACCCCCAAATACACCTGCCGCTTCCTGGGAGGTTTCTATTTAAATTTCGCAAATAAATGCCCGATTTCAGTATAAACGAAACTAAGAACGTATCAAAATCTACGCATCAAAGCTCGAGTTTCCTACCATATCCACAATAAAACGAAACCTAACTCACTCTCAATGTTTGTTTGAACTGTTTCCGTACATGTTAGTTTTGAATTTAAGTGTACCGCCCCTTTAATGCTCACCAGTCTGTCTAGTTGCTCCGCCACTCGCTAGATGATGCTGCAGCCCCGTTCCTGTACAGAAAAACGGGTCAGCGTTCCAGAAAAAGAAAACGACGAAACACGACATAACGCTCCCCGAAATGTGTTAACTCACCCCAGTTTCTGGCTACGTTTTAACAGCAGCTCACAGGAAGAACATCCTAAACAAAAGAGATCCGTTTTGTTAGGAAAATAATGAGCACGGTATGTGGAGTCTTTGTTGATTTGCATCCCTCGCATTGTTTACGGCGCTGCAGGCCGCAACATGATGACAGGAGCTTTACTGGGCGGATTTTATCTGAGGTTTTAAGATTTCCCCGTTTGTGTTCTGTGTCCTTGCTGTCCTAAGTTAAGACGGTCACTTTATGGGGAAGAAATAAGTTACTGATTAAAAGATAACGAGGTATAAAGCGAGGAGGGTGAACTGTGCGTTGTCTACAGCAGGTAAACCATTCTTGTATAACATTATGACCACCTGCCTAATAACGTGCTGCACTATCTGATTGTGAAGTCAGTGGGAGCAACTCTGTGACCCATAAATCTTGTACCCCTGCTGCAAAGCATCACACTGCCTCTGCCAGATTGCTTTCTTCCCATAATAAATCCTGTGTTCCCTTAGATATAAACATCATTTATCAGGTCAGGCCATATTCTTCTATGAAGTCCAACTCTAATGCTTATGTCTTGTTTTGGAAGGGTGCAACACAGGCAATTAGAGTGGTCTGCTGTAAGCAATAAACTGATGTTTTCTGACACCCTTGAGTGAGAGTGAGGATTTAAAAGGTTAGGAGTAGAGGAGAGAAATAAGCATAGTGCCAACAGAAAATAAAAGTGCCAACTAAGTACCATGATGACAAAAATCAATTTTATCCTCTTAGTGATTATATGTTATATTTAACCTATGTATAACTAAAAGCTGCATATATCTTTACCCAGTTGTGTGTTTGCATTTCATTTGTAGGTTATCAGTCCCTCCATGGTGTGGTTGTAAATATCAGGATGCTGGATAAAACCGATGACCAGCAGCAGGAGGAGTCCAGGCTCTGCTCAGAGTGCGGATGCAGCTTCAGCCCACCACAGCTGGACTCCCACTCTGATTCCGCATCAGCTAAGCAGAAGCAGACTGACAGCAGAGATGCTCCATTCAAATGTCCATCCTGTGAGGCTGGAGGCAGCAGCAGTCCCCCTAACGGCCGGCGGGCCCACCGGCGCATTCGACTGGACCCCCACAGCTGCAGCATATGCAACAAAACCTTCATCTCATCTGCCCACCTGAGCCTTCACCTCACCTCCCACAACAAGGAAAGGAAGTTCAGGTGTAACATCTGTGGGAAGTTCTTCCATCAGTCCTCCCACTTGATGGCTCACAAGGTGATCCATAGTGGTGATAAACCATTTAAATGCCCCGAATGTGGGAAGAACTTTGGGCGCGCCTCACACTTGAAGACCCACCGTCGGCTGCACACGGGAGAGAAGCCTTTTAAGTGCACCTACTGCAGCAAGTCGTTCACCCAGAAGGCCGGGCTTCTGGCCCACATTCGACTCCACACCGGTGAGAGGCCCTTCAAATGTGAGCAGTGTGGCGCGGGCTTCCGCTCTATGTCCGCCCTGCTCTCTCACAAGGCTCTAGAGGCTGCCGGACAAGCCAGACCCACACCTGTTCCTGCTGTCGTTTCTGCACCCGCGCCTCCAGTCAACAAGCCACACGAAGCGCAAAGCAACATGGCGGATCTGAAGTGCGGCGTCTGCTGCCGCACGTTCGTACGCTCTTCATACATCCGGCTTCACATACGCCTAAAAAAGGGCCAGCGACCTTATCACTGCAAAGTATGCAACAAGACCTTCGTCAAGCTGGAAACGTTTGTGAACCACTGTGACAAACACTTGAAGCAGAAAAAGGAAAAAAATTGTGTTAAATACGAAGTTGTCAAGCCTCCACAGTTTGTTCCGCACTCCAGGCCTCCTTCCCCTGAGAGCTTACCCAATCAGGAGTTATCCTCGGAGATGAACACACACGTCACAGTAAAAACTGAGACTGATGGTTAACGAAGAGGAGATGCTTCCAATCACTTCTGCTTCAGCAAATGGGTACAGCACGTCAGTGTCAACTTCTGCATTTTGCATCAATGTTTACAAATGAGAAAATAGGTAGCAGTATCCCACAAGCCTCTGTCTTTTACCTGATGAGAAATACTGTCCAAGTGAACAGTTTTTGTAAACATGATGGTGTGGGTGTGACAAACATGACAGAAATAGATGCTAATGAGAAAACGTATAACACTGATGTCACTGAGTTAAAGTGGAATACAAGAGCCGCGCAAGTACAGTGTTCACAATTATCAGGCAAACCTTGTTTTTATTAATAAGCATACAGTATTCATTCATACAGTGTTCTCGGTTAATCCAACATGGCGGACTGTTTTTCTTCACTGTACATTTCCTGTTTAACTGCCCACAGGTCAGGTGAGGAACATATGTCAGCAGTTTTTTCCACCTTTAACACCTTTTCTGGTGAGCCTTTATCCTGCATAAAAATCATTGTCTTTTTGAAAGATGTACACTTCTTCCTGTAGTGCTACCTGAAGAAACTGGCGTATCTTTGGGAGTCGATTTTGAGCCCATCTTCAACCCGAAAAGATCCAGTTAGCTCATCCTTAATAATGAGCTCCACCTTGACATCTGTCTTGGAGCTCTGTGCCCATTACTGATCCACATGTCCATCCACCAGGCCCATCAGGCCACTCTCATTTCATCAAGCCATAAAACCTCTGAAAAATCTGTCTTCAGATATTACTTGGCACAGTCCATACGCTTCAGATTATTTTTCTTGTTCTGTGATGTTCAGGTTTTAGCCTTCCTTACCTCGGTCATGTCTCCGAGCATCTTATACCTCAGTTAATCTGGGTTAATCCAACATGGCGGACTGTTTTTCTTCACTGTACATTTTTCTTCCTACATCCTCCATGTAGGATGCGGTTATGGAATATAATACAAATACAAGATAAATGTAGTTCTTGGTAGCTTCTCTTGATTCTTCTCAAGTCCTCTGCAGTTTGCATCCCCCCCATATTACTTGATTTATCATTGTGCACACAGAATATATCTGTCCTACTTTCATCTCATTTCGTAATCTAGTTTTATTATCTGCAACCCCATGTGTGCAAAGCTATACAACATTTTTGTAAAAGGTACGGCCCAATGTAAGATATCATGGTAAGAGAACAAAGGATAAGAATAATTGGAAATATAAAACATAATTGTTTTATTTAAAAATAGCAAAGGAACAATCATGTCTTTTGCTACAGAAAAAAAATAGACTTACAAGTATGTTATCTATACCACATATTTATTATTTTAATTTTTAATATGTTTTATTTTGACCATGTGGAACATTATTTATTGGAGTATTTCTTTGTTCTTTATATGTCAGATTTGTGCATTTCCACTGTGAGGTCCAAAAGTTTACTTTCAGTCTACAGCTGAACCATTGGTGCTCATCTTCACTATATGGACTTCTAGAATAAAAAAAAAAAGAAATAATTGTGACAAGCTTAATTGAATTTCTCTATCAGATTTTTCTATATACAAACTTTTTTAGAGCAACAGGAAAGGTGGGAAAAGCTCAAGATTACAACCTTATGATCTAGAGCCAAACTCATTGTGCGGTTTTTACTCAGTAGATATGACACAGCAGATGAAATAAAATAAAACTCAGATTAAATCTAACCCATCTGCAATGGGTTAGATTTATAACAAAGTAGCACTATGAGACTCAAACGACCTGCATCTGTTTCATTAAGGCTTAAATTTAATGATAGACTTTTGAGGTGGCGATATTTTCGGTTTGAATCCTGAAACTTAAACACATAAAATGGATTAAACTCATAACAAAAAAGCCTTGAGAGCATTACCTCCTTATTGTTCGTTGAGTTTCAGTAAGGTTATGAGATTTAATGTATTAATTAAAATCAGCTACAGTGTAAAACACTGATATTCAACATGTGTGGCTGGATTCAAATGTGTTGACAAACAAAAATGCCAATTACTGTTTTTTATGTTTTAAAATTACCAGAAGGTATAAACAATGCACTAACTGCAGTGACAAATCTGAATACTACTCTAGTTCCTGTAAAAAGGTTCCTACAGTGGAAATGCACAATCTTTATAATTCTCACCAACTAAATGTAATGGCGGGTCATTGGACTTTTTTGACATTCTTTGTGGAGTAAAAAAAGTAATATATAATGGTTAAATGGACTTTCTCTCTGTCATAGTTTACAAACTGTATTTTTATAACAGTTTTGCCTTTATAAGGTTGCTGGGTTTAGCTACCAGACCCTGACTTGTGTTTTATGCAAATATTGTCTAAGTTTAGAAGACAAGTTTTACCCAGCAGTTTAGTAGTGCACCTCAACAGGAGTGTTTTAGCAGTTTTGACTTTTTAAATGATTACGTTAGCTTGTTACTGGTAATCCACCAATTCTTAATGTATTGCTTACTTTAACATGAAAAACTAATTAACAAAAAATCCTCTTATCTTTAGGTGTTTAAATAATTGAATATCAGTTAAATAAGTGAAAATGTAAATTAAGCTCTTTTTATAAAAAGCCATTGTAAAGATTTGAGTGTAATAAAGATTAAAACATTCTTTTTCTGTTGTACCTGAAAGAGTATCTTGCTACTCCTTCAATGACCCCTATTTTCCCCAATCAGTGACTCCTCGGCTTCTTCTTTTCAGCCACATGCTGCTCTTAAAGAATGACCTGTTGTGTGATCACCTGTTCCTGTAGCGATCAGATGCATCACTAAAGACTCAAATGTCCTGCCAGGTAGCTCTCTGGGTGTCACGTTTTCAGTAACCGCTTCTGATCACTGGTCAGCAGCAGCTCATGGGCAAAAAGTGGACATATTTGACTGGTTTACTGTTGATTCGCCACAAACCAGTCACCTCCACATGGGGAAACTTTTTGTCCCAGCCTATAAATGTAAAGAGGAAGTGAACAAAAGCCATGAAAACAACAGCACATTTATGAATATGGATGTGTAGTGTAGTGAGATATTTGCCTGGGAGTCGTCCGTGTTGCTGTTGATGTTCCAGTGCAGCGTAACGGTCATGTGGCGTCTCCACACTGGGTTTCTGCGCAGGACAATGTTTCCATGGATGGAGTCTCCGGCGTACACCTGGATCGGCCTGTCCAGCATGAACAAAGTCTGCTTCCAATGGGTTGGACTGAGGATTAACAGATCATAAACAAAAAGTCATTTCATAATACAGCTTGATCCCAGTAAACTGAACTATTGAAACATTTGTATACTTTAGAAATTCATTTGAAACAGTAAAACTCATATTCATTCATATTCTTTTTAATGACTATGGCTTGCAGCCAATTAACACCAGACATTTAGTTTCTACAAACATACATGAAACCAATAAAAAACAAAACATTGCAAACAAAAAAGTTATGTTATGGCTTACATAATCGTGGAGACGATTGTTGACTTGACAGTTGTCCAGCAGAAACTTATTAAACCCACATGGAGGCTAAACCACAGAAAAATATAGTTGCTAAAATAGGTTGCTGTTCACAGGATGTTGTATCCAATGGGTTGGATACAACTCATAGGATTCAATGGGTTGTATCCAATGGGTATACAACCCATGTATCTAATTGGTATCCAATGGAATACAATGTAAATCTACAAATTAAGATTTGGTGGATATTGAGGATTTAGCCCTAAAAAGACTGCAAAGCAAAGCCTGTTTAGCAGTTTTGAGAGACACTCACAAGATGAGGCAACGCACACCGATGTATCCTGAAAATGGGCCTTAGCATTTTCCCTTCCTCAATTTCAATGCATTTATTAGCAAAGTTAAAAGAAAAATAGCTGACCAAAGTCCTTCACAGTTTTGCCAAACAACAGATATATAGATAGAATATAGAATAAAAAGGTCAGAATAAAATAAATAAAAGCCAGAAGAGTAGCACATTTGGTGTTTTGTGGATAATTAAAGAGTGGGAAAAAGAAACAAGTTTTGAAATGGGCATTTAAATGACTCTTCAAACTGATTGGTGCAGACATGTAGCGGCATGATACTTTACAGTCCACTTAGGACATTCATTCCTCCTCACATTTTAACCTCGATTTCAAAACACTGAGGAGAAACTGGTTAATGGTTAATGTCAGGCATGTGAACGTTGCGTAGAGATGTATTAAAATTAAAAGAAATAAATGCTTTGTGTAATGAATCTATAAATGAGTTTTTAAATTACATTTTTGAAACTACATTCCATTCTAACGTATTGATGGATTTTGAACGAACGTATTGATGGATTTTGAACGTGTGAATCACTTAGTGTAGTTTGATTTTTACTCTGAGTTTGGTCCGGTGTTGAGCTCCACTGTTGCTCCTCCCATCTCCAGGCTTTCAAACAGAACAGTGAACCAGGCCGTGAATCCGTGGAAAATTCCAGGCTTCTCCACACAAAACTGAAACTCGCCCTTCATTTCCTGAGAAATGAAACTGTGCTCCATTAGTATCAAAAGATAAACAGATAAGAACTGTGGTCTCTTGTAATAGAGAAGTCCATTTGATACCTCAAGGTCTCTCACTTGAACAGTGTACATGTTAAGGCAGATGACATCACAGGGAGCAGAGAGACAGTCCTCAGGGTCAATAAGATGGCTGAACTTTGGCTTGGTGAAGAACTCCTGCTGTGCCAAAGGCCTGCAGGGATAAGACATCAATGAGGAGCCAAAGAAGGAATGAATCTGCTCCTACGGAAAGCATTGAACATGATTGCAGGAGGAATTTATAGTACATGAAACAGCATGAATGCAACATAGTTCATGTTGCATTCATGCATGAATGATTTTCTTCAGGGGACAAAATAAAATGTACTTCATCCAACTATTTCACAAGTTCTTTCAGGAGCTACATATTTTTGTATTCACAGTAGTCAGTTATTTTAATTACAAATGTAATAAGCAGTTATATTTTATATCACTTCTTCTCCTCGTCATGAAATAAATGTTCTTTTCCATGACTCAGTTTATTTTATAACCCTTAATCTCAGTGTTTTATGAAGAGGCAATTAAGATATGGCTTTATAGGTGAATGAATTAGAATCATTAAGACATTTAGGTCAGCTCAAGTTTTTACATGCTCGACTTCTGAATAAATATAGACACAAAGTAATATTCACTAGCATTTCTGGTAGAAATTGTTTAAAATCCTTAAAATTAATACACATTTTTGCTAGTGATTAATCTCACACTGAAAACACGCCCGACATACTTCTATAAGGTTTACAAGCTGCGATGGCTAAAAATGTACATTTTATGTTAATTAAACCATTTCTGTGTTGGTTTGACCACATGTTTTTGGATTAATATCCAATTCAAAAAGCCATTGGTAAGATTCCCCCAGAGTTTTAGTTAAACTGTGCAGCTAGAGGCTTATGGTGCCATCCACTCTAACAAGTTCCCCAGGGATTCTGGAGGAGAAACAGACCTACAGAATCATACATACTTAACCCTGGGTATAATATGCTTTTCAACATATTCCTTTTTTTTTTTTTTTTTCAAACTAAACCCACCTAAAATCTTTGTTTCAAAAAAGTCTGATTTTTATTCCATCTGTCCAAAGCACACAGTTCCTTCTAAGCTTAAAGTTTCACCCAATTTTTATTTAACCTTTATTTAATTGGGTAAGTCAACAATGATCTCTTCAAAAAAATCAAGACATCACACAACAGAAACCAAAAAGAATAATCTTTAGCTCCCTCTGCAGCACATATGCAGGTAGTGCTCAAGGCCAGTGTTCTGCTACTTCTACATCTGTCTCAGCTTCAACAAACTTGAATAAAATATAATTAGGTTATTACCAATCCTATATAGAAGCTTATTGTTTAAAACTAAATAAAAAACGATCTAACAGGTTCATAATTCTTGTGACAGAAAAAAATGGCACTAAATGTCATTACTGTGCACTACTTATTTGGTTTCCTTAAAAATCTATTTCTAAATCTATTTCTGAACCATTTTCTTGCTCATTCGTGTTATTTTTCCTTCTTTCATTTTGTTTCATGAGCCTTTTGTTGATCCTGGTGTCTAATCTTCACTGACTTTCATCAAAAACAAAGACGTTGCTATCGACCATGAAGAACCTGCAGAAGTGTTTGGCTCTGTATCTTGCAAAGCTTGAAATTGATACTTTTTTCAGACTCTGAACAGTTTATTACAAAAAGAAACAGCTTATTGCTGTAAGTGATTCAAAGTTAAAAGCCAAATTTCTTTAGAGGACACCCTCCACTGGGTTCCACAGGACTCATCCCACTAGGTAAGAAATCTCAGTTTGGTAGTCAGTTTGGCTACATCAATCTACCAACTACACATTTGTGTACATTCTCTGAAAATGAGGAGTGAGCAATGCAAACAAAAGTAGATAAAAAGATAATGTTCAGCTCCACAGCTGATCAGTGGCTCTTACTGTAGTGGTGTGAAGTCCAGGCCATAAGGTCGCTCCCAGAAGGCCATTGTCTCTGTGTAGTAGCTGTCGGCCTGACATGGAACCAGAGCTAAAGCTGCTGAGGAGGGCCACATCACACCGCCGTCCCGGAGCCAGCGATCCCTGGCCAAGAGGACCGACTCCACCATGAACTCAAACTATACCAGCAGAAAGTACAAAAATTAGAGATAATGATGATAATTATTTTTCATAAAGACTCAATAAATGCCAACAACAAAAGATAACCACAAGAGGATCAATGCAATAAATTATAAGCAGTGATTCAACTGAAGACTTATTACATCATTCAGCTCTGCAGAGGCCCAGCAGTAAGCTGTTCATTGCATTTAGGTGTGTTACAGAAGGGATGCATCCAAAGGTTGCAGGATAGCAGCTCTCCAGAACTGGACTTGTGGCCCGTGTTCTAAAGAGAACCACTAATGAACAAATTATTTGATTCACGTGTGCAACCCAGACACATGGTGCAGGAAAACAGCGTTGAAGGACTGCCGTTTCAGATCAAGGAGGAAATTACACTAATTTGAGCTAAATGAAAGTCATTAACATTTTTGTACTTTAGTTCATTGGATAGATCATTGGAAGTCTGCGAGCTCAACTTTACATATTGATTCAAAAGTTGGTTAGAAATGCTTCTAAAATCACTCCCAAATTTGGAAGTTACAAGGTTTATGCATGCTACGGAAAATTTTATAACAAGCAGCACTGAAGGTTTAAGAATTACCAGCAGACAGTTTCCCATCCACTCAGACACCAGGATGTCCACCTGCTCTGGCAGCTCAAGCTCCTCTGCTCGCCCCTGCAGCACAGTGACCACCTCCTCACAGCCGTTCTGCTTCACCAGCTGTCTGGTGTGCTCCGCCATAGAGCTCGCCTCTACAGCATACACCTACAGAACGACCAAGTAATTAGAGCAGTGTTAACACCAAGCTGTGTCTCTGCAGTAGTAACAGTGCTTGTCCAAGAGATGGAGGTATAAACACATTAATGAATAATGTGAAGCACATGTAGGATCTTGCAGAAGCAACCGTTCAGCGAATTCAATTCATTTTATTCAGATTTTTGATGTGACAGATCAACGCAAAACAGTGCATAATTGTGAAATAGAAGAAAAATAAGGCATAGTTTTGAAAGGTTTTTACAAATAAATTTGTTAGACACGTGGTGGGGTGATTTAACAATCTTAAATTTTTGCCCTTATATCAAACCTAGTACTGCCAAATTGTTTTTAGAGCCAATCTAATTAGTAAAAAGAATAAATCTTTGTGTAATCTCAATGCAAATACAGCTACTGTATGAAGACCTCAGAGATTTGTTAGAGAACATTAGTAAACAAAAGGCATCACTATGACCAAGGAACACAGCAGGGGGACCCTTGTTGGAAACCTTAAAGCAAGGACAAATTATAAAACAATCCAAAGTTTTGATAATTCCATAGAGTGCTGTTTAATTTATGATAATCAAATACAAAGAGTATGGTACAAGAGCAACCCTACCAAGACATGGTCATCCATCTGAACTGACAGGCCTGGCGAGGACAGCATTAATCACAGAAGTTAGTCACAAGCCGTGTAGGGGACACCTCAAAAAAAGTTCTCTGGATACAAAATGGCCCGCGACAAAGCATATTTATGTGTTGGAAAGGCTTACAGCCAAATCTAATAGAGAATTTTATTCAAGACTTTAAAACCAATGTTTAGAGATGCTCCATATCGGAGCTTAGTTATTTAAAGTTATTTTGGTGGGGAAAAGCCTCAGTCTGTGGGCCTGCAAAGCTATCAGAAACAAAGCACAAAATGAAGTATTTTATGTGACAGGGGGCTCTGCAAGCCTGTAAATTAGGTTCATACATATAAGTGTTACACTTCTCAGATTTTTATATGAAAGAAGAAGAAAAAAAGTTATGAATTATATTACTTTCACTTCACAACTATGCACTGGGTTGGCCCATCATAAAAATCCCAATAAAACCCCTTGTTTGCAGGTAAATACAGAAAAATATATAATATCTGAAGGAAGGGGCATGAATTCCTGAAGAATTTAATACATTTGAAAACCTCAGAAGACAAAACATTAAAGTGTGTTCAACTAGAACTTATCTGCCATTTTTACCATAGAAGGTTTTGCCAGCTGAGCACAGAACATGCTGATAATGCCGGTCCCACAGCCGAGGTCCATCACCACCTTATCCCTAAGTGAAGCGCTGTTGCTGACAATAACCTGTCGGTACGTCTCGGTGCGGCTCCGGTCCGACAGCATCTCCAGGTGAAGCCTCTGTGCGACAAACAAATAAAATAAATACAATAACTGCTATGTGCAAGACTACAGTCTGTGGACACGTGTATCAATTAAACTAATTTTTATGTAGGAAAGTAACTGAAATTACGTTACGAGGTACATTGTTCCACAGTTAAGCCACACAAGCACATCTGCTGTATTTAAATGAACATTTATATAGCAGAAAGTGATTTGTGCTTCTATGTAAGCTGTGCTGCATTAGCAGCAGACAGCAGAGGGCTTGTTTCAGCAAGGATGCTAATCTAGTCAGTTTGGCTCATCGATCCTTCGTCTGACTGAAGTTTGTGCAAATTAGAATCTACAACCCTGATCATGGGTCTTGAATATCTGCAGTCTAACTGCAGCGTGTATTGATAAATCCATATAGGGCCCATCCGTGGGTCTGAGGTAGGAGACAGATTTCTAATAAAGTCTTTGTCTCTGTACCATGCCCTTCACTGTGCTGTGTTGGTCCTACGGTGTCCGTGTAAAGTACAACTAACATATCTTATATTGTGAATTGTTTAATGAAGATTAATAACCATAATCAGAGATGCAGAAACTCAATAGAAACTCCCAGACTTTATTCTCACAAACTCAATGGTGTGATTACAGTTTTTGTTTTTTGTATAGTTGCATTATCTTTCCGATGCAGTTTATTTATAGATATCCCTAACAAATCTCTTTTAAAACTATTGGCAATAAACTGTGATGTTCTTCTCCCAAACATGCACAACAAAAGTGTCAATAATGTTGCGAGAAAATCTGCACAAATGCATCTGTCAGCAAGAGCATCTTGCTGACTGCTTTGATTATTTATTGGAGTTTCTAGTATTTGCATTTTTACAGGAGCCTTGACTTTCAAATACATTCTAGGTGTGACATACTTTCAGTTTCTTTAATGACGTTGCATTACCAAACATCAAGAGCTGTTGTGAAGGTTTATCCTGTTTCTCCTTTTATGTCACTTTAAGTCCCCCATAAACTGATATGTTGATGCACTTTAAAAGTAACAACTCCGAGGGTTAGGTGCCTTAGGACTGGGACACACGTTTACACATTCCTGTGAAAATGTATTTGATTATTCATAAAATTTTTGAAGCTAAATATGTGGTGTCTTGCAAAAGTATCTAACACATAGAAGCATTTTTTTTTAAGTTTCACCATGCAACCATTAAGTATAATCAATTTTATCTAACAGACCAAACACAAAGCAATACATTACTGTGAAGTGGACCAAACATTATTTTCAAAAATGTTTACAACTAAGTAAGAAAGTGTGGTGTGAATTTGTATTTAGCGCCTCCAGTAACATATGACTGCTCATTTTACAGCAAGTCTGTTGTGGTACATGCTTGCTATATCTCAAGACTGACGTTTTTGCCTATTCAACATAGCAAAATAGCAATGTTTGATGAAGAGTATCCATGAACATAAATTCTCCCTTTGACTTTGGTCTGGATTTTGAGTGGGACATTTTTACATATGGATATTAGTTTATGTAAACCATGCTTTTTCAGCTTCCACAGTATTTTTAGGGTCATTTGCATGCCTGAAAGTAAACCTTTGACCACTGTTTGAAATCTTTTTTCATCCTCCAACAGGTTTTCTAGCTGCCCTTTATTTAGATGCTTCCATCTTCAGAGCAACTCTGATCAGCCTCCCTGTGCCTGCTAAAAAGAAGCATCTCAACAGCATAATGAGACACTTAACAGTATTGGTTAGACTTCATCTGACAACACAATCTTCCATACATCTGCTGTGTCTTTTGGCAAAATGCGAACACGACTTCCAATACAATAATCTCTAGTATACAGATTCTCCCTTCTGAGCTGTGCATTACTGCAGCTCCTACAGAGTTACTAATTCAGTGACTTCTGAAAGCAGTTTGTTACACTTGGTTTTATTTAGGGGTATCAGAGTGGCAACTACAAAACACATGCCATACTTTTAAGATTTTTGTTTGGAAAGTAAAAGGGGGGGGATCAAATTATTTTCCTAACACCTACACAATTAGGCAACTTGTGGCAGTATTTTGACAAAACGTGAAAACATTCAAGGGATGAGAATACTTTTGCTTTTGCACTGTTACTTTGTTACAAAATGATAACACAATTTAATGAGAAAGCATCATTTTGAGTCATTAGCATTAAAGTAAAAAAAAAAATGTTCACGTCGCATCAACTAATATAATTAGTTGGTCCTGCTATGTTTAACACACTGTGGGAGTCTTGCCTGAGGATTCAAGGTTGATTGATTTTATTAAATAGAGCATTAGTCAGTTTGTGAAACTTGGAGAAAATTGAAACAAAATAAAGACCGTTCTATGTTTCTAACCAGTGTCCCGTAGCTGCCGAAGTATTCGTCATCCTGCCAGGGGTCCTCTAAGGATGCGTCGTCCCCCTCCTCAGCACCATCCAGGCGCAGATAGCTGGCAGGAACATAACCGATCACCCCCTGCAGTTCTGCCCACCACCAATCTGCTGAAGACTTGTTGTGCACAAGCAGCTTGTCTCCTGTGATGAAACTCAACTGTGGAACAAAACGGAGCAAAATGGTTAATCTGGACAGTTTTATTACAAAGTCTTACAAGAAGTTTGACTGGCAGAAGAATAACCTGCTCAGAGCCGCTTGCAGTGAAATCACACAGGGCAACATACTCTTCAGGAGCATCCTCCTCTTCTACTTTCTCCGTCTGCATGTTTTAAACAGGAGGCTTGGACGAAGAATTGATTTAGCCTTTTAATGCAATCTATTTCAACATCTGAACCACCTTTTATAACAGTCAAAACAGTCATATGTTACTACAGCGAAACAAGCGGCAAAACTCACTCACTTTAACAGAAGTATGTGCGGAAACCACTTCCTGTTTTTGACGTTGACTTGGGAGCCTTCACGGCTGTCGGAAATTTCGAAACTCTTTTATTCATCATGTCGAATTACTGAAAATAATCCAGATCACCCACATTTATTGTACCGCATACAATAAATTTTAATTCGTGACAATAGTGGTGTTCGTTTAAAATTAAACGATTTGACATCATGATCAGTCGCTTTTTCCAGGATTTTGGATCTTGCCGTTTTGTAACATACAAGGTAAACTAAGACACATTTACATAAAAAGCACTTTCAGCTCCCACAAAATTAATTATCTGATTACATAAAAAGGATATTTAACTTTTGCAACTCATATTTTTATTCTGTAATGCTTCTTTTTTTTTATAAAGGAAAAAAGCTATCTAAACAAAAGCTGTCTAATGTGGAGAAAGTAATTGTCATCTTGTTAAATCGTGATTTAAAGGTGATTAAAAATTTTTTGGCTAATTGTACTCACCACACCCAGACTTGATTACTGCTAGATCACTAACTATATAATTACTATATAATCACTAACATTTATCAGCCTAGATAAATGCTTACAAAGCTTTATAATTCCTTAGGAATCCAATAACCCATGATGGGAGCCATTATCTACAAATTGAGACTGCATGGAACAGTAATGGATTTTCTTTGGAGTGACTAGCCAACCAAAATTACTAAACAGTAACTACATCTAAAGCACTACAGACTTCTCTTGGCTCAATTAAGGTCAGTGGTCATGTTTCAGCAATTAAAAAAAACTGGGCTAAAATGACACCGATGGAAGCAACAAGAGTAGCAAGCAACAAAAGTGGAACTTTCTGAAAAGGTGCATCACACTATCTAGCGTAAAACGTCAAACAATGTGGTTTCTGCGATGGTCTTGTTTCTCTGCTGCTTATGGCAGTAAGATGATCTAAAACAGCCAAGTGTGAAAAAAGCAAAAACAGAAGAAATTTAAAAGAGGCCAAATAGTTTTTTTATGGTGCTACATCAGTAATAAATACACAAAGGGGAGAATATACTGTAAAAAAATAACATTTATTACTGTAAAAAAAAACATAGTCCCCAAAACATAAAACAGCATAAAATGGTTCATGTATTTTTTTTAATCAAAATATTTTGAGCTTGTAATTAAGTACTTTAAATTGTGTGGTAGTGAAGGTTGTTCAATGGGACAACTTTCCTTTCTTCAATTCTTTCCATGTCAGCTGTTGTTTGTTCTTGACTTCAGAAAAGGTTTATGTAGGACATCATAAAGACGCTTCGCCTGTCAACGCAAAAGGTAAATCAGCAATGTTCAATAAATGCTTGGAATAATCATTGTGAGCCTTCTTTAAGATCCATATGTCTTCACCTTTTGTGGTCCGAGGCCCGGACAGAGAACCAAGTCTTCTTTAGAGGCATTGATGATTCCCTCTACAGTCTGGACAAGAAGTAGAAAGCACAGTATGTTATCTGTATAGTGCCTGCAGCATTCTAAGTCGAGTTAACAGTTGAAACAGAACAGTGCTAAAATATTGTAATGGAAAAATCAAGTCATTTTATAGAACATTTCATATTAAGATACATCTTTAATTTCTTTACAATTAAGAGCATCAAGCTGAGAAGACTGATAATAAATGGGAACAAATTACCGAGCATTTCTGAGCTTAGACTTAAATAAAAAAAGGTGAAATTTTATATAGTCTGTATTAACTATTCTTTTGTGGCTCCTGTGTGAGCAATATATTGGCCATTCTGGAAATAAGCCAATCCAGGATGGCCTCATAGTTGTTTCGCAGAAATACTCACAGAAAAAGTGGATAGCAAGGTTATGGCATCGGTTTTGTTTATAGACTTCACAGTAGTCAGGCAATCTGTAACCTTTAAAGAAACACACAAAAAAACAGTTATGTGCTGGTACTAAGTTGACTCAGCTGTATTTTGGTTTTGTATAATCTATTTTTAAATAAATAATAATAGCCTATTTTTTGTGGGAGAAATGTACAGAATAATGAAATTTCTAACACAAAACAAACCTACAAACAGACCTTTGATAGATAGTCTTTTTCTACTTGCTCCTTCAGAAGATCTGCTGGCTTCTTCTCATATGACTTGTATGTTTCAAGGTAACGTCCTGCTTCTTCTGGACTGATAATTTAATATTAAGCCAAAAAATAAAAAATAAAAGAGAAAAGTGCTCAACTGTGGTTCACAAGTTTATTTACAGTATATGAAATTTTTTAAAAACTGTTAAAAGCCATCTTAGGGTGTTTATGACTAACACATACAATTTAGGTGACATATAAAAAAAAACCCCAAACTTCGCTTTATCATTCCTTTATACAATTTAAACGTGCTGAAGAAGTTAACAGAGTTTCTCTGAACACCGATGTGTGTCTTTTGTTAATTTTACCTCCAAGCCAAGATAAGAGTGCAGTCGGCCATGACACAGATGCGAGCCAGTTCCTTTAAAGCGTAATGAGGATCCTTCTGTACAAATAAAAACAAATAAATTTACACTGTGATATTATACATTATTCTTAATGATGAACTCTTACATTAAATGGGAAGACAGTAGACTTATTTTGCAAATAGGCCAATTTCATGACATCTATTATTTTTTTGTTGAGTGTGTTGCCAAAAATAGTAACCAGCTGTACGCTTCAGTTGTACAGTTGTAAGCAAACCCAATTCTGTGGAAGCAAGATACACTTCACAGATGAACAGTTCTGTAAGGGGAGCTCACATTACAGTTAGTCTTCTGTTAAAACTGATTTAAATAGCCTGACAGAAACCGAAGTCGTCCCAGGGATGTTCTGCTTACAAAATTACTTGTGTTACAATTTTATATACATCTATTTAAGTACGAAACAGTAGCCTTGAGCATTTTTTTTAATTATTTTTAGACCTTTGAACAAATTGTTTTACTTTACAAATAGTAAAGTAAAATTCATCTGAACACAGACAAGCATTAAAGTAAATCTGGAATCTACTGTAAGTGTAAATTGCATAAGAAAAGTAATGTTGACTACTAGGACAAAAACATATTTTGAAATGTACTGATGCTACTTTGTAGGTGTAGCACAGCAAATTGAAAAATGATAAATACAGATAAATGTAAAGATTCGGCACACTATGTCCCATTCTTCTCTGATCAACCTTAAATGAAAGTCTTCTGTGACAGTGATTAAACATTACTTACCACATCAACTTGAACCAGCAACACACGTAAGGTGAATGTACTTCCAAGCTGTTTTAAACGGTCATGGATGTAGTTTGGATTTAGGTTGTGATACCTCAGGCTTCAAATCAGGTCCAAAGCCATCATCATGAAAAAGAGAAAAATCACAAAACATAAAACAGAACGAGCGTTAGGACAAACTTCACGAATCAAACAGAAAAACACCACTCCATGTTTCCTAAAAATGATTTAAGTTTTAGAACAGAGCTGCACAATAGATTAATCAATTAATTATTATAACAACATCAGTGCATCAAGGCAATGCAATAACAACACAAATGTACCGTTTGTAATGCAATAATAGGAAGGAAGAGTCAGAAAAATCAGGCAGGATAAAAGTTAGAAATTAACACCAAAATATCTAAACAAAATAAGTCAGAGTCCACATAATGCAGAAACAAAATCCAGTTTAAAATCAGCGGTTGTACTGGTCTCTTAAAACCTTTAAGAAAGATTTAAACTCTTTTAAAACGCAGAACCTAAATACTGAAGTGTGGAGAGAGCAGTATTAATATAAATATCAATAATCCAGAACATTCAAAAATGTATCTTGGGCAAGTTTTCTTCACTAATAAAATACAACATGCCCTACTTTGACAATAAAAGTCTAGTCTTAGTTGTTTTAATAATAAAGGGTATTACAAAGCCAAATACAATGTTACTTTGTCAATAAGTTCTCCACCTACTGGTAGGAATATACATTGTTTGCATTCTGTAACAATGCTCCATTCAGCATCAATTAGTCAGGAATTGATGCTTTTTATACCAATAACATATTCAGTCTGCTGGATGGAGTATTACTGCATGAAACGTTAACACATGGAGTACCAAAGATATCAAAGACCCCAAACAGAGTAGTTTACTTCATAGCCCCCTAACGCCACCCACCTGAGGAAAAGAGCACAAGTTGTCTGTCCCAAGACGTAATCAGGAACAACATCTCCAAACTCCCAGGGCACGCTCCTCACAAACTTTAGAATGGGATTACCCCTCTGCAGAAGCAAAAACAAACATGCAAACAATTAATAAATCAAAAGTGACACTTGTCAACAAGCGTGTAATTACTGATGCACATAAACAGAGATATCTTGTGCTTTAGTGAGTCCAATATATTTACAAGTCCAAGCTTACCTGTCGAGGACTGACTATAATGCTGCTCCCAGATCCCACTGGTTTGGGACCCTGGATGACACTTGGATCTGACTTCAGACTGCTGCTATCCTCAGCAGCAGTCTCGTGTTTTTCATCATTCCTTTTCACGTCCTCGGGCTGAACTTCAGTCCCTTTAACACAGTCTTGAACCGTTTCAGAGCCCAAAATGCGGGTCGACACAGTCTCCACTGGCTGTAAACTGCTGATTCCAGCTCCTTCAGCCCTGACCAGTTTAGAGTAAGCATCTCTCTGTGGAGCAGCAGCTGTTGTAGTTTTACTCTGGACAATGTAATCTGCATAGGAGAGGGGCTGCGCAGATGATTTTGTAACTGACTCTGTGGTAGACGTAGCTGGAGCGGTTGTGTTTTGTTGTCCTTTGGATAAAGGCTGAAACTGTGGCTTTAACTGGAAAACAATCAAATAACAACATGAGAATTGATCTGACATATTTTTCACAGAATTGTCCTTGATAAACTATTTTGAAAGACATCTGAAATTGAAGGTTCTTTGAACAGGCTGAAGGGCTAACTAGTTAGCTACACAGCAAGTAGCTATATCAAAATACAGACCGGTGTTCTTTCTTTAGTGAAAGCAGAATCGTCCAGGTCGATGTGAAATCTCTTCTTCATGTTTTTAATTTTATAAAAATGTTTCGCAGTAAAACATGTCCTGAATTTATCCGTAAACTTTTACAATCGTTCCTTACTCAACAGAGAAACAGGTGACACCACACTTCCGGGACCGACACTACCAAAATAAAAGCACAGCCTTTACATATAGTTAACATTAAGCTAATTTGCCCCCTCTTTTTCTTTACTTTTCTGTATATTCTGTTGCTAAGTAAAAGGCTACTAGGTAATGAATGCAAGTATCTTTTGCTAGGTTTCAGTAAAACTTGAGCTAAACCTTCTATATTGGACTCATAGGATGGAGACTGAAAAACACAAAATAGATACTTTAAGTTACCCTTTTAACAACCTTTGAACAAAGGATCTAAACATATTACTTCAAATAAATTGCCTCTGATTTTTTTCTTAAAATCTACAGGTTTGTTTTAGTCCATCTTTACAGCAGATGGACTAAAACAAATAAAACATAGCTTTGCTATGATGTCAAAGTCTACTCTATAAATTTTCACTTCATAATTTGACTAATTAGTTCACTGCCTCTAAGTGGCTTAACCCTTGTGTTTACAACTTGTATCATTTGCTTCAGTCCTCGCACGCACAAGGATTAAAGGGCAAATGCCCTGTCCATTTTGTTTAGTCATCTTTTGTGAACATTTATGGAAGCTTCCATAGACATTATTCATACTAACTTTAACATTTTTTCTCAAAATACTTTTCTGGGCAGGCTTGACAAATGGCTGTCTATAAGAAGGGAGAGAACAGATGTAGGTACTTCAGTATTTGCAGTCAGATGCTGTACATCTTTTAGAAGTTTGTTGTATAATTGTGTAAAGTCAATCTCTTTTGCCATCATTAACTGAGGCAGAAGCGTCAGAACCAGAGAACTATAAAGGTTGATAAATAATGCTGGTTCTGTTTTGGGGACTTCTCTGGAACATTTGGAGATTATTGTGCAAAAAAAGATTAATCATAAAAGCAAGACAATTACAGACAACTCTGAGCATCCTTCTCAATACAACAACAACATCTTCAGTCAGAGGCTTCCTCTGAGTTGTTGTAATACATACTGCTACGTTAGCTTTCCTGCCCATGCCCATTAGCAACTCTTTGAGAAAAAAGGGTCACAACAACATGTAATTTCCCCCTGGGATTAATAAAGTATTCTTAAACTGAATTGTATTGAGTTCTAGTATTTGATCTTACTCAAGTCCAAGTTTTGGACTAAATGATACAGTATACTTGGTCACAAGTGGTTTTGTCAAGTGGTCCCCTTTACAGCCTAAAAACAGCGGCTCACTGGTTTACTGTGGTGTTGCCTGGGAAACAGTGACGCAGTCATTCAAACCGCGCAGCATGGCATGTTGGGATACCTCTCTCCATCATGGCGGAGAAGAGAGCAAGCTAACGTTAACGGTTAGCATATTCAACAACTGCTTGATTTCGCACAATTCAGCGTAGTACTCGTCTGCCTTTTTCTCTACACGAACCGGAGCCATTTAACGTAAACCGGGTAAATATTCACTGTACAGTTAAAAACCTCTGTGAAAGGAACAACTTCGCTTTGTTGACATCACTTGCAGCTAAATGTTTAGCAGCTACATTAGCTTCAAGGTTTGAGCTGCTAGTGCGTTGTCGGTGTGTGAGGCCGCATCTTCCTGCAAGGAGGATATTTGGCTCTTGGGGCTAATAATTTTATAAATATTTTAAACAGTTTTCAGAACTTTTCAAATATGACGTATTTTATTCTTACGGATCAGTTTGAGCTGACTAGCTAGAGCCATCGGCTACCATATGTGGATGAATGTTAGTCAGGGCATTGTAGGCCTGACACTGGTCAACGTTATCTAACGTGTTTACGGGATGGCGATGTGCACAACTTTGTTCTCATTTAGCTCCGCTTTCGACGCTGCTTTTATTTGTTGCAAATCAGTACTTAGTCAGGTTTCATCTGATAACATTTTACGTTGTGAATGAATTAACTAGATTTGTCGGATTTATTCATTAAAATATAAAAAAATCTTCTTATGAATTTAATATTACGTCGTCTGTTGGGCATTATTTCATCAAGTACCATCCATTAAGAACTATTAATACATGGCGTGAATTGTTTTTTGTTTGGTTCTTTAGTACGGTTTTGCAAGCGTAGTTTGACTTCTTGTGACTTGTATGGTCTGTACTCTAGAGCAGATATGTGCTGTCTGCCGCTAATGGTGATTTATACTCAAGATCAAGTTGGTGACTTTACATCCTTATTTGTGTGGTGCTGCTATTGGTATTCCTTTTGAAATAAATGTTTTTAGTGCATTTTGTTTTTTAAATCCCACTATATAAAATGTTTAAATTACTTTCTTAATTGTATTTCCAAGAAGCGTTTCACAAAACAAAAACAACAAAATATCATGTTAAAACGCATTGAAATAACTTTTAAAGGACTCCAAGATTATGGTAGTCGGTTAAAAAAATAGACAATTACAGTAGTTTAAACATTGGAATTCAAGGGAACTTGATGTATGTAAATACTAACATTTCTATGTAAATGTACATTTTGTTAAATAAAATGACCATAACTGCCAATAATTTGCAAAGCATATTCTAAATATCTCAGTATGTAGTGCTGTGAATAAGTATTTACCCCCTTAAAGATTTATTTTGTTACACTTAAAAATGAACAAATTTTTATATCAGGCAAATTTATTATACAGATACTACAAGCAGGGTTTATATGATTTATTTATTGAAAGTTAACCTAAACAGTCTGAGAAAGTAATCACACCTCATAATAATTATGAATTTAATATGATGAACAACCTTTTTCCCCACTGTTAGGTCTGTAGAATCAATAAATCTCTTACACACAATCTGTTGGGCAGCAAGAAATACACTAAAATCAAGGAGTTCAAGAACTAATCATTAACATAAGTCTAGAAAGTTTTATAAAGGCATTTCTAAGGCTTTGAGACAGTGTGAAATATTATTCTCAAATTGAGAATATAAGAAACAGTGGAAAACCTTCCCAGGAACGGTTGGTCTATCAAAATTACATCGAGAGCTCATCACCAACCAGCCAAAAAATATCTTGATAGTTCTTTTAGACTGGGGAAACATATTCTGTGTTACTGGCGAGACAACATTGAAACTTTTTGGTAAGTGGAGGACTCATGTAAAACAACCTTTTAGAAAAAGGACATCGGTCATACCTACATTCAAACATGGTCGTGGTAGTGTGATGGTCTCGAGCTGTTCAGAACACTAGAGTTCTGCAACAAGTCAATGATCCAAAGCAGATCATCAAGTCCACCTCTGAATGACTCAGTAAAGCACAGACTTAAATATGATTGAGACGAGCGAAATAGGTCATTCATGTTGGAAAACTCTCATAATTTAATTGAAACAGTTGTGCAAAGCAGAGTGGAGCAAACATTCTTCCCCAGTGGCGTAAATGACTCAAAGCCAGATATCACGCACTTGATGGCAGTTGTTGCTGCCAAGGGTGGAATAACCTAGTCACTTAGAGGGTAATTACTTTTTCACATTGGGCCAGGTTGGCTTGGATAGCTTTATTCCCTTAATAAATGAAATCATCATTTGAAACTGATAAGTGTAATTATTCTGGATGTATTTGTCTGATATTAACATTTGATGACCTAAAACATTTAAGTGGGGCAGGAAAGCAAAGCAAGGGGGTAAATAGGGTTAGGGTTATTTGTTTAAGAGTTGCTCTGTTGAGCCAATGTTTGGGATATTTTGGCAGTAATGATTATATTGTAGTCTATGGAAGACACTGTACCTCTTCAGAGAGTTGGTTTGTGGCTTTCTTTATAATGTAATTTGTACTAGATCGTTTTTTTAAAAGTGGAAATTGCAGAACCAGCGTTCAGGACACCATCTTTAATTATTGTGGTTTTCATTGTAGTTGAAAACCAAATAATTGAATGACGTTCAAATATTACTTTGTCAAAGCCATCTGCTTATATTTTGTAGCTACCTTGCCGAGAGATTACCAGTTTTGTCAAATCTAAGTCAGGAGAAATGGTGGCAGATTATGCAGATGTGATATTTCTTACACAAACCTTTGAAAAGGATTTGAAGTGGAACTTTTTTTTTTTTTCCCCACCTGAAAGCCTTCATGCTCAACTTTTTTCCAGGGTTGTTTTAATTTGTTTTTGACTGAGATTGTGTGTGTTGGTGTTTTTAAAACTGTCTGTTGTTTAGTTAATAGGATGGTTTGATTTTTGGCTCGTTTGTGGGTTTAAGTAAATGTTAGCCAACTGAGAGACAAGCACTGCTCTCTGCTTGTCTCTCATTTAACTCAATGATATGCTTGAGTTGAATGTATAAGTGCTGTTTAGGTATAATGCATCTTTAGATTTTATTACCTTTGTTTTTTCCCCACAGCATTTATTAAGAGAGATCCACTCCAGCATCTCTAAGAGGTCTCTTTACCACATTTCTGTGCTGCCATCATGGAAAGTGCAGTGGACGTTCCATCAGGTACGTAATGCATAGCGCTCCAAATCTGTACATTTTCAGTGTTGCCTTCATTTCTTCTAATCTTTTTTTAATTTACACAGACATTTTTATATGCTGCATTTTGTACAAAATAAATTACATTTTATTTAGTCTAAAAATAAGTTTTTAATTACGTCTGGAAAATCTCCTATTAGGCAGATGCCTGTTTGTGTGCTCTTTGATTCAATTCTGTTATAATTTCTTGAAAGGATCATTTGCACTGCCGTTTAAGAAACATTGGTTGGTTACTGGACATGAACCACATTGGTCACTGTCAAGACAATCTCTGCATAATCTCCTGATGATTTAGCCTGTGTTTTGTTGTGGATTTTAAAGAGTTGTGTAACTAAAATACTTGGTACTACATATGGTGTACAGGTGAGGATGAAGCGCCTGAGAAAGATGACGTGAATGCCAAGGAAAGTACTGAGGTGCCTCACAAGAAAAACAAAAAGCACAGAAAACACAAAAGCAAAAAGAAGAAGAGGAGGAGAAAAGGCGAGAAGGAGAGCAGTTCAGATTCTGGCGCAGAGTCGGATGTAGAGCCTCCACCTCCACCGAGAAGGACCACTAGAGCCAGGTCAGACAAAAATAGATATATTTTTTCCATTAAACGT